ATCAAATGTAGTCAAATTTTTTGGCACTGATATAAAAATCATTGAATTTTAAATATACTAAACTTTTAGAATTTTTAAACACAATCCTAATTTTTTATTAATTTTTAATTGAACCCAATTAATTTTTTAATTTTTTATAAAAAAAATTGTTCAAAACTTTAGCTTTCATCTAAAATTTTTCTAGTAATTGAAAAATTACCAAAAAAATACACAATCTAGGCTAACTATTTACTATATTTTTTAAAAGTTTCAAGGCTGTAGCACCTCTCTGTAAGCAGATATAGGTGCGGAGAATTTTTTTGTCTGGCACTGTAATTGGAACGAAGTTGGCTTCTAAGGCAGCTTGAAAATTGCAATTAGTAGATAGTGTTATTGGACCCATCCGGAATACTGTTGCATGGCCTCCTTGTGAAGGTCGTATTACAGCTCCACGAGCTGTACAATTTGTTCTGTTGAGCATAAATGCGGAGGTACTTTCTTGAAATAACCAGGGAGTAGTGAGTTAAGTGTTTGAATTTGTATTACTAAGATGTGTAGAGAGTAAGGAGATATCTTCTAATGTTAAAACATGTTTTCCTTCACTAGAATCAGGTACAGGAGGATGGTAATTCATGGTGCTGATGAGGAGAGCTCATGGAATCATTTATTATGGACTTGAAGTGTTATGAAATTTATCGCTCATGGTCATTTATGACAAGTTAGTAACAACCAAGGCATCAATTCCATTAGCCGAATCGGCTATTCACCATTTTGCAGCCCTGGAAGTATGTGATATACCATATGATTTCTTTGAGTTATGATATTTTTTTTACAACTTTCATTTTTTTTTGTAATGGCATCAACAAGTAGGAAGAGTCGCGAAAAATTTTGTCATCCCAAATGAGGTGCTATTGCATCATTAATACTTATCATGCTAAATTTTAAAAGACACATAAGTCTGAATCTTTTTTTGAAAAGCACCTTTTTTTTTTTCTTGAAAAAGCAAATTTCTCGAAAAATGTATAATTTTTTTTTCGAAAATACATGTTAAATAATAAAAGCCCGGTTCCAAACTCTTCGTATGTATAGTACGTACTTTTAATTTAAACTTGTACAATAATTTCAAATTTTATATACTTACACTTTACATTTCTCTGAAGAGTTTTTCAATTAAAATTTTTGGATGTATAGTATATATATGCGCAGATCATTGAATTTTATTTGATCTTTAAATATACTATATAGTATTGTACATACTGATACTTTCCCCATAAATTTATTTAACAAAAGCTAATAAATAATAAATACAGTATTGTTAATCTTTCTTTTAAGAAAGATCCCAAATTTATACACATAAACAACAATTCATTTTTATATCAAATATCACACATATTTTTAATCCTTCCTGTTAGCCTTGTAAAAATTGATCAATCCATTAGTACTAGAATCATGAGAACAAACTGGCGTATTATCTTGAGCTGTCAATTCGGGTAAAATTTTTTTTGCCAGAACTTTACCAAGTTCAACACCTGTAGTGAATAAAAAAAAATTAAATATGATTTGAATGGGAATGAAAATTAAATTATTTATCTAAAATATTATATACCCCATTGATCAAATGAATTAATGTTCCAAATGGTGCCTTGCACAAATATTTTGTGCTCATACATTGCAATTAATGCTCCGAGGGTGGAAGGTGTTAACTTTTGGAACATGATGCTGTTTGTTGGTCGATTTCCAGTAAAGACTTTGTGAGGTGCTATCAAATCTTTATTTTTAACGTTATTCAATTCTTGTAATACATTATCCTTAGTTTTACCAATCATGAGAGCTTCAGTTTGAGCAAAAAAATTTGACAAGAGAATCTTATGGTGTAAACCATCAGAAATAGGGTTATGTGTTTCAACAGGCGCTAAAAAGTCTGCTGGTATCATCTTTGTTCCTTGATGGATTAATTGATAAAACGCATGTTGACCATTGGTACCAGGCTCTCCCCAGATAATAGGTCCAGTTTGATAGTTCACCGGTTCTCCTGAACGTGAAATATATTTGCCGTTGGACTCCATATCTCCCTAATGTTTATTAAATGTTTATATGGTAAGCAAATATTTTTTTTTAAAAAAGGGAATGGCAACAATTAAAAAATCAACATATGCACCTGTTGGAAGTAAGCTGAGAAACGATGGAGATATTGATCATAAGGCAATATGACTTGTGTTTGTGCGCCAAAGAAATTATTGTACCAGATACCAATTACACCTAAAATTACTGGCAAATTTTGTTCCAATGGTGCGTTTTGGAAATGAAGGTCCATATCATGCGCACCGCAAAGAAGTTCATAAAAGTTATCAAAGCCAATGTAAATCGCAATGGAAAGTCCAATAGCTGTATAAAAATTTATGTTAAACAATATAGCATAATCATGTAATAATCATTTATACACATAATTATTACGTACCAGACCATAAAGAATAACGTCCACCAACCCAATCCCAGAATTTAAACATATTTGCAGGATCGATCCCGAATTTTGTGACTTCTGCAGCATTTGTCGAAAGCGCCACGAAATGTTTTGCGACATATGCACTCTAAAGTTAAAAGATGAAGTCAGACAATGCTTATAAATTATATTTTCATATTCACCTTAACATACTCACGTCTTTTGCCGTATCTAAAAACCAAGTTCGAGCAGAAACAGCGTTGGTAATCGTTTCCTGCGTGGTAAAAGTCTTGGACGCGATAATGAAAAGGGTTGTTTCAGGATGTACTTTTTTCAACGTTTCGGCTAAGTGTGTACCATCAATATTCGAAACAAAATGTACATTTAATCCTTTTTTTGCATAGGGCTTTAATGCTTCGGTAACCATTACAGGACCAAGATCTGAACCGCCGATACCAATATTAACGATGTCAGTAATTACTTTGCCAGTATATCCAGTCCATTGACCTTCACGGATAGCATTTGAAGTATTCTTCATTTGCTCTAGGACTTTATTTACTTCTGGTACGACATTTTCCCCATTATCACAAATGGGATTATTTGAGACATTTCTTAAAGCGATATGTAATACTGCACGGTCTTCAGTAAAATTAATGTGCTCTCCTTTAAACATTTTATCCCTGAATCCCTCGACATCAGCCTCACGTGCAAGTTCAATGAGCATTCTAAAAGTCTCATGAGTAATGATATTTTTCGAAAAATCGAGTAGGATAGAGGCACTAGTACGTTCGCCTTTGAAGTGACGAGAGAAAGTGTCGAAGCGACTAGGGTCTTGTGCAAAAAGTTCTTTTAGCACCAAGTTTTTGCCCTCTGTGTCATAATGACTTCGAAGTGCGTGCCAAGCTTTAAGTTCACTTGCTAAGGGCATTTTTTATTTTTTATTTTTTTTGTTTAAAACTTATGCTGGAAGATGATTTTTATCCTTTATAATGGTATTAATTAGCGATAACGAAAAACTTGATTAAATCTAGAATTTATTTACGCGTTATCGATCAATACTATATAATCGATTTACTAATCGAGTTGTTGGATGATTATCTACTTTTTAAAAAAAGGGTTTAACCAATTAAATTAATACCACTAACTCATGTGATTATAGAATTAACCCATAAAATTAAAATTTTGCCGATCACTCCCACAGCTTTAAAATCTCATACGGTTACTACTGTTTTTTTACTAAATTAATTTTTAGCTCTGGAAATTTTTTATTTCATATCAGGCACACATTAATTATTGTCGCGGCTGATGCTGGAAACGGCTGAAGCTGGAAATCAGGGACCCTGATTTAAAAATATAAACCCT